TATCCGGGAGGCTGGGCTCTATGAGGAGAAATGTGGGGTCAAGGTTGGTGGAACATTGTATAGGCGGTTAAAAATCTGGACTCAGGGTGCTGGGCTTTATCCGCTCTAGAGGGAGATCCTTATCTCTGCAGTATCTGTGGGCAAGGTGTCCCTTGGAGATCTCTGTGTGACTTGGCATTGATCTTCTCTTGGGTCGAAGCGGTTCTTAACACAGGGACCCTGTGTCCAAAGCATGTGCTCCCACTTGTTCATTCCTGGTGATACTGAGGTCCCTCCTCTGTGCTCGTCATTCTTACACAAAGTGTGAGGATAGCACTCTCACTTATTTCCACAAGGGGTAACTGTCTCCATCAACAGCACCCACAACACAAAGCCAATTCGTATGAGGTCAGACAGATAATCCCCTGTGCTCCCATACCTCGTCCTCCAAATTCAGCACCAATCCTGCTGCTCTGCTGGGTCAAAAATCCATTGTTATAACTACATAGACTTCACAGAAACATACAATCATGAGACAGATCTATTAAGGAAATTAACAGGCTACAATTTTAAGTTGTTGATGAATCTTCCTCCTTTCCTGACACCACATTCCTCCTCATAAAGTCCAGCCTCCTGAATGTCTGTTCTGCACATAGACTGAAGTGGTATGAAGACGGGATGCATCCTTGACACATTCCTTTCTGAATTTTAAACCAGGCAGCAGCATTTCCTTGCCCTGTTCTCACCACTGAGCCAATTGGCAGCACCATGATAGCTGGAGAAGAGACTGAGATTGTTAACAGTGTCCATTTGTTCTGTTCAACAATCAACCCTCTTGGCATCCGTAGTCAGAAAATTACAAAACAAACTGCATTAATAAAATCTGCTGTCGGGGACTTCTCCAGAATGCTGAAGAGCAATAATATCAGACTAGAGACTAAGGTGCACCTGATCCAGGCCATGATCTTCACAATTCTCATGCATCAGAGAGCTGGACAATGACTAAAGATGACAGAAGAATTGATGCCTTTCAATTGTGGTGCTGGAGAGGAGTACTGAACATACCACAGTCTGCCAAGAGAACAAATTGGTTTGTCCTGGAAAGGGTGAAACCAAGTTTCTCCTCAGAGACAAGGATTTTGAAACTCTGTCTCCCATTGTTGTTGTTAAGTGCCATCGAGTTGCAGGTGACTCATAGCGACCCTATGAAGGAGTCCTCAACGCTTGGGTGCCTTTCATCCTCTCTCCAGGTTCATAGGGTTTCCGGAGGCAAGCTATTACGAAGTAGATGCCACCCCTCCTTCCACATACTATGGGCATATTGGCAGAAGGGACCAGTCCTTGGAGAAGGACATCATGCTTAGAAGAGTGGGATGAGATGGAGTGACATAGTTATTAACCTGATACCTGCAAACAATTGCACTACTGGTTTTTTGAGGATAAAGAAGGAACTCTCTCTGCCTGCTCCAGTACATTACTTTATTAATGTGATATTCTGAGCATTACATAAATTCAATCTTTATAACCAGAGTATCAAACATTGTTCCAGTAAGAAGTTTAAAAGTGCATTCAGGGCTATTTTAAGAAATGTGAATACTTTGGCTTCCATTATTACATTACATCAAACAAAATCAATTTGAGAGAACAGTTTTATTTCCTGCCATGATTAACAACAATACTAAGTAAAAAAGAAACAAGTATGTACATTAAAAAAAAAAAAGGATATGCGAGAAGTTTTTGAAGAACTTATTCCTGTTTGCGTCACGATCATCCATACGCAAAGAAATGACTCTGAAATCTGAGAAGTGGTTCTTATCCAATATTAGAAACGTGGTAGCTATTTGCTAATAGATGAACTACTTGTGAAAACATTTGTGCTTTTTTTGAATAAACATTTTTTTCAAGTAAGAACAAGAGTAAACAATGTTTTATTTTAATCATAAGCCTGCAGAACAGGAATTGCTATGAATCCTATCAATCACAGCTAATAAACTAATGTCATTCTCATAAGAAAAACCTTCCTAAGACTCTACAATGTCGCACAACTAATTCTAATCTGTAATGAAATAGATTCCAATCATTTGCAACATGGCCAAGAAAAGGTAATTGGGGCTTCTAATTTCTCATATTTTTGCTTCTCAATCACACACACACACACAAATTTAAAAACACTGTTAAAAAGAATGGTCATAGGTCTCTCGACCTTACTGTTGTGTCTGAAAATATGTATGTGAACCAATTAAAACAGAGGACTGTCTAGCAGGAAAACAAATGTGTGGACCCAAGAGGCAAACAAAGCTGTCATCATAAAACCAGTTCACTGGGCCACATGAAGAAAAGCCAAGACCACCACTCCGAACCCACAGGCAGGTTTCCTAACCAAACCAAAAGTGACAGAGCACTTGTCTGTTACAACAGACTGTGTCAGGAAAACTATCATTTTAACCTATATTCAGGGGCTTGACTTTAATTACTATTTATCTTATACCTAAATCAAAACTAGAATTTGGTAAGATTTCAAATAAGCAAATGTGTGATGTTATTTAGCCTAGATTTTTTAACAAGATAATGCAGATTCCATTAAGAGTTG